TACTTGGCCATAATCATTATTAGGGTATCTAGTTTAAAAAATTTGTCCGATGACCCCGCCTTCCAACCATCATGGCCGACTTAGTTAAAAATAGAACATAGGGGTAAAATGCAGTTTTTGGTTTATATCTCTGAAACTAAAGCATTTAGGGCAAATCTGACAGGTGGCAAAAATGTTCATCAGATTTAGATTTATCTGCCCTGAAATTTTCAGACGAATCCGACAACCCGTTGTTGGGTTGCTGCCCCTGAGTTAGTAATTTTACAAAAAAATTTCAGTTTTTTTCCTTAACAGTCGTTAAATGATTTGATGCATTAAATTTGTTCTTTAAGAATCTTATTAACCTTCCAGTGCACGTTTGTTTACCGTATGATTCTTTCATCACGGTTTTCCCCTCGCACTTGCGCTGTGTGGTGACCGAAGTTCTAACAAAAGGTCGTAATTAAGGTCAATGCATACGGGAAAATGTCGGCGATTTAGTGTACATCAGACAATAATTCGATAGCAGTACATTTATGAAGATTTTAATAATATCAAGGACTTTCTTTTACAAGAAAGTTCACGTACACTTGTTTTTATAGTAAAACTTAACCATTCATATATATAAAACATATTCAACTTGTATTTAAGAATTTGAAGTTTCGATGACATTAAAATTACAAGAAATTAGTTTCATATGACTTTAAGCTTTCGAGTAAAATATAATTAGCGACATTCCCCCCCAACCCCCTTGATCCGCCACTGCATATGATTTTATATATATGTACAAAATATCTTTCAAGATGAAATGTTGTCAAAAACGGAACCAAAAAAATCGTAAGGGGTTCCGCGGAACCCTGTTTTCGCCTACGATTGCTGCTGTCAGTGTAAAAGTGTAATTTTGACTTAAAAGTGAGTCCATTTATCAGTAAAATACAGAATTAAAAAAAATCTTATTTTATCTTTAGATGCTATTTCTTGGTCTTGAAGATTATCTTCTGTCCAAGTTTCATAACAATCCATGAAGGTTTACAAACTTAACATGTCAAAATAATTGAATCCCAGACTGTTTTAAATCTTAAAAAACTTAAGTCCATCTATCAGAAAAATACTGAAAATCAAAATGTATTTTCAAAAGTTTGCTTTAGACGTTATCTCTTAATCATAAAAAACTGCTTCTGCCAAAGTTTCATAAAATTCAGACTGTATCTACTTGTTAACTGTAAAATAAACTAAATTTTGCTCTGGATACTGTATTTATGGTCATAAACAAACTTCTGTCCAAGCTTCTGTCAAAATTTCATAAAATTCCATGAAGGTTTGACAAAGTTACTGATGACTGAAAAACTTTAACCTCAAACTGAATCTGAATGTTAATAGTAAAAAAAAAAAAGTCCAATAATCAGTAAAATACAGAAAAATTAAAATAAATATTTTCGAAATTTTGCTCTGGATGTTGTATTTTGGTCATAATGATAAACAAGCTTCTGTCCAAATTTCATAAAATTCCATGAAGTTTTGACAAAGTTATTGATGTCTAAAAAAACTTTAACCACAGACTGAACCTAAATGTTGACGACGCCGACGACGGATTCTAGGATCGCTATGTCTCGCTTTCGCGACATAAATGTTGCAGGCCCGACAAAAAGCTAATATTTTTGTCTTGCCTGGGACGAAAGTCCATATGACATAAGTATTACAATACGGCGACGGCGTAAACTATTTGCTTAAAGCTTTACATTTCAAAAGGTAGAAGACATGGATGCTTCATACCTTGTGTGCAGATACCTTATGTTATGAAGTTTCCGTCTGTCATATGTCCATTGTCCTTGACCTCATTTTCATGGTTCAGTGACTGCTTTTTTTTGTTTAGTGAAATACTCACTTATTATGAATAATATGATAACTATATTTGGTATAGGGTTTCCTTGCAACGTCTACACGTCCGTCAGGTAGGGTTCACCTGACCTCGACCTTATTCCATGGATCAGTGATCAGTCCGTATCTCAGATACTATAAGCAATATGTCAACTATATTTAATGTATGGAATGATTGAAGGTACACATTTCTGACTGGCAGATATCATCTGACCTTGACCCCAATTTCATGGTTCATTGGACAATGTTTAGTAATAGTGGTTTGGTCTATTTCTCAGATACTATAAGCAATAGGGCCACTATATTTGGTGTATGGAATGATTATCAGGTGTACATTTCCGTCTGGCAGGTTTCATCTGATCTCATTTTCATGGTTCATCGGACAATGTTTAGTTTTTGTGGTTTGGTCTATTTTTCAGATATTATAAGCAATGTGTCAATTATATTTAGTATATGGAAAAATTGTAAGGTGTACACGTCTGTCTAGCAGGGTTCATATGACCTTGACCTCATTTTCATAAGTCTTCGTAATTTTGTCAGTTCATCAGATTCTATACGTAATAGGTCAACTACATTTGATGTATTGAATGATTGTAAGGTGTATATGTCTATCTGGCAGGGTACATAATTATGACCTTGACCTCATTTTCATGGTTCATTGGCCAATGTTAAGATTTTGTGGTTTGGTCTATTTCTCAGATATTATAAGCAATAGGTCAAATATATCTGACCTCATTTTCATAAAAAAACAAAATTTATAATGTTAAATTTATGTGATACTCGTAGTAAAACTTTCATATTACAGACTTTCAACATGAATTCAATGATAAGTAACACAGGCTAGGATGAAATTTGAAAAAAGGCAAGACAGGAGTTTTGAGTAAAAAAAAGGCAGGATGACAATTTACGTAAAAAAAGTCAGGATAAACTAATAAAAAAAATGCAGGACCGAATAGAGTGAAAAATAAAAAGACAGGACAGAGATTACAACTAAAAAAAATGCAGGACAAAATTTTTCATCCTAGCCCCCCCATAAAAATCAAATGGTAGCTCCCTAAGAGAAGGTCTGGATCTGGTTTACAGAATAGAGAATAATGGGCAAAAAGTGCAGAATAAGAGCAAAAAAAAAATAAATAAAGAATAGAGTACCGGTAAAATAAGCCCTCAAAAAATAAAGAATAGAGAAAAATAAGCCCATACAAAATAAAGAAAAGAGAAAAATTGCCAGATTAGAAAAAGGAAAGAGAAAATTGGTTTTTTAAAATTAAAGAATAAAGAAATGAAGGACCCCCAAACCCAGACCCTCACAAGTTGCTGGCTTCATACATTTCCTTCTTCCCAGTAGATGGGTACTACAGTGCTAGAACATCAGAATGTTATTAATATATTAGAATTTGGTTCTTGACAGATACGAATGATTAACTTACAATTTCCAACTTCATCATTGGTAACTCACCATTTCCAACTTCATCATTGGTAACTTATTGTTGCTGATTTCATCATTGGTTACTCACCATTGCTGACTTCATCATTGATAACTTACTGTTGCTGATTTCATCATTGGTAACTCACCATTGCTGACTTCATCATTGGTAACTTACTGTTGCTGATTTCATCATTGGTAACTCACCATTGCTGACTTCATCATTGGTAACTCAATATTGCTGACTTCATCATTGGTAACTCACCATTGCTGACTTCATCATTGGTAACTTACTGTTGCTGACTTCATCATTGGTAACTTATTGTTGCTGACTTCATCATTGGTAACTTACTGTTGCTCATTTCATCATTGGTAACTCACCATTGCTGACTTCATCATTGGTAATTACCATTGCTGACTTCATCATTGGTAATTACCATTGCTGACTTCATCATTGGTAATTGAACTGGACTGTACTTTCAACCTTCAGGGAGTTACAAGAGATTCGAACAAAGATAATTAACAGTGATGCTGAAATGGGTTTCAAAATTAATATTTCAGAGCAAAACACCATAATGTCATAAGTTCAGTGTAGCAAATATTTGCTTGCCAGTGTTTACAATCTGTTCCAAAGCAAAATGGATTATAACCTTTGATTAGCAAAACACAAGAAAAGGCCAGCATGGCATGGATTAAACTACCAGCAGCATCACCTTAGCACAACCCATAACATGCATATATAGCACAGATATAACCTTAAGGCTATGCTGACTTACTGATTTTAGGCTTGTTTTTCTCTCTCCAATTTCCAGTAATTTATATTTTAGTTGGCAGTAGGTGATATATAGAATAACCATACATTGCCTCGAAATATAAATTTTATTTGTACAAGGCTTAGAAACAGGTAGAAAGCAAGGCTTTGCCGAGCATTTCTATCCTGTTTTGAGCCAAGTACAAATAAAATTTATATTTCGAGACAATGTATGGTATTCTTGATATACTGCGACTCCTACAACTGTTCCAAATGAAATATCTAGTGTAAAAACCATCATTTTTTAATTTGGAGGGGACAACGTAAAATTTCCGTGAACCTGTATTATTTATTGACGTCATAAATAAAACTCTACGGAAACGCATTGTCAACGTCATAAATAAAGCAATATACGGTCAGTGACTGTATATCAGAAATTAATATACGGTCAATGCAATTTGACTGCGCAAATAGCACAGCTGCAGTATATATATTGATAGTATTCTGATGCGCTTGTAGTACCATGTTCTATAAAGTTTAAGGTTATGTTTTAGCTATACACGAGTGGTCTTAATGTAGATATAAACCAAAATAATTATAAAACCAAAATAATAATAAAATTAACATGTCAGTCAGTAATATACATGTATGAACAGTTGAAAAATCTCTAGTATAGAATGTATGCTTTATGGTTTATCTTGTCATTCTTACATGACTGATAAATATCATAAAGTTTGGATTGAGAGGAATATTTATCTCTTGATCTTCATGATACAAAGTTGTTCTCCCCAATGCTTCCCAATACATAGCTGCGGAACCGTAGATCTGAGGTCCTCATGATATTTTTTGACAATTTGCGGAATAAATTAAATAAGTTTTCATCCTGAATGTGCACCTGTAATCTATTTAGTGGGATTAAGAAAATAATCCATAAGTCCTACATGGCTTTTGTTACAAACAAGACAAAAATTCAAAACCAAGCATTTATTTTATTTAATATGGCATTTCAACAACTGTATATAATATTATAAGGATGTTTATTCAAGAACAAAAAGACAGAATCTGTCAAAGTACTAGAAAAAAAATAATTATGTTTTTTTCTTGATACAGTAACATATAAAATATATATGGATACACATTGTTAAAAAGAATACTTTTAAATGTTAAGTGACATTTTTAGTACTGTTGAAGTCTAGTGTATTTTTTCTTTTAACTGTTTACACAGTCTATACATATCTATACTTCATGTTTAAAATTTCCCCTGAGGAATTCTATTCAACCATATACATGAATATCAAACATAATGCATGATATCTGTTCCAAACTTACACTTTTCATCAAATAATTATTCATACAATTTTGTTTGTTAATTCCATAACTGCTGAAATAAATAATTCAGTGGTGGATCCAGAACTTTTTATAAAGGGGGGGGGGGGGGGGGGGGGGGCACTGACTGCCATAAGAGGGGGCCCGCAACAGTCATGCTTCAGTGATTCCCTATATAATCAACCAAATTTTTCCCACAAAAGGGGGGCCAGGCGATATCTTTTTGAGCCAAAATTGAACTCATTTGTGCCAATGCTACTTCTGCGCCACTTCACTTTAAAAACTATAGGCATCATTTGCGCCAATTGAAAAATCATCTTATTGCGCCAATTTTATGAATTTATTTATTTTTAATCAATTTTACACAAAACAAAGTCATTGTCTTCGTTTGTTACAACAACAATATCACCAAGAATTCTGTGAAATTGGCTTGATGTTTTGGTTGAGATGAGTGCAGTTTCCTTCTTTCACTGTACATGAATTGAGATATTCAAAATCTTTTTTTTTCTAAATCTTCTTCATCAATTTTGAAGAGCTCAGAATTAATCCAACACACTGGGGGAACAGAAAAAATGTCAGATTAAGCAGGGTGTCGGAATACTCAGGTTTTTTCTGCAAGGATAGGCATATTTTGGGACCATGAAAATGTGTCGGTTAAAGCAGGATGTTGGAATACTCAGGTGTCGGATTAGGCAGGTTACACTGTATTAACATATCAGTTGCTTTTCGTTTGCATGCTGTTTTGAAAATCTGTCCTTCTAGTTCTGAGTATAAGTTTCATGTAAATGATCTAATTCCCTACTCAATATAACTGTACTAGATTCATCTGTAAAAAGCCTAGCACACTACGACTTAACTGTACATCTCCATCTAATTTCTCTGTTTTTCTGAACAAATGCCTGACGAAATTTGTGTTCTTCGACAACGATGACAGGTTTTCCTCTATCAAACTTTATTTTCTTGAACGATATATCAGACATCTTTACATGTGAAAAATATTCTGTTACTGAACAATTTATTTCTTGGTGATTTTTTCTCAATCTTTATGAGTGTTGAGTTTAATCTAAAGTTGATAGGTTATTCATAGTACATGTTACATTTATGCTATAGGTAAAAATGTACAGGTGAATGTGGCGCAATTTGATTCCATTTATTGGCGCAATTGATATCATCCGAAAAATAAAGAGTGGCGCAATTGATACCTTTTCAAAACTGTAATTGGCGCAAATTGATTCTGCCTGTCCTCTTCACTAAAACGGTTTTAAACTATCTTGAGTAACTTTTTAATTTGCAAATTGAGTTAAAGCTTGATAATTCATTGAAATTATTGTTTAATGTCAATAAGTGAAAAATGTAGCCTTATCATCTATTTAATTTTTTAAAATTTCAGTCAAGGTAATGGCAAAACAGTTTGATATGTCCATTATATGGATATAATTTACTTGGTTTTCCTTTGATATCCCATGAAAATTAAAGTACAAATAATGAGGATCAATTGAACTGGAAAGGAGACCACTCAAATTTAATTTTTAGTGAATATTGTGCACTAAAATAGTACAATCCTTGGTCTACTGGATATATTCATTTAATACGAAAAGCATAAGTTAGGGTCTGGATGGGGTTTACAGAATAGAAAATAATGAGCCAAATGTACAGAAAAAAATCAAATAATGAATAGAGAAAAATAGGGCAACAAAATAATGAATAGAGAATAATGGGGTGCTAAAATATAAAGAATAGAGAATAATTGGCAAAAAATTAAAAAGTACAGAAATGAAGGACCCCCATCCAGACCCTCATAGGTTTCATAGAAAAATAAATGGGGAATGTGTCCATAGGACACAGATGATGCCCCTGCTTGCATATAACATTATAAAGGGACATAACTCAAGAATGGTAAATGCGTTGCTACCCAAATTCCTACTTGATCTCAGTTTTGTGGTAATAAGCATTGTGTATAAGTTTCATAACATTTGATTGAGGCAAACTAAAGTTATAGAACGGAAACAAACGGACAAGGGTAAAACTTAATGCCCCCTCCGCTACGGCCGGGGCATAAAAAACCCTGTTGCAACGAAACAAACAATGGTAAAAAGTTGTATGTTTTTGCAACACTTTTCATGATCGTTCAACCTGTATTAGTAAGTTCCCATGTAAATACAAAATTGCAGAGTTAGTTTTATGTCTCAGGTAAACTTGCTTGTTTTCTTATTTATTTAGTTTTTATACATTTTATATCATAAAACATATTATGAAAATCAAAATTCAAAATTTTAACAAATGATTAAAGTTATATCTTTTTCAACTAAGGCATCTAATTATATAATGTAACCTACTTTTGACTTCCACTTGAAAGTCAACTAAGGTAAAAAGTTTGCATACACATACAATCTTAATCTGCCACTGGAGTGGAGTGCATGTAAAACCAGATTACATAATTACAACAGTTAAAATTTACAGAAACACCATGCATGCATTAGTCAAGTTGTCATCATTATGGATTTGCCAGTCAAACAAACAGTTTTATGTGTCAGGTACACATGTACTTTTTTCTGTGGCAATGAAAAATGTAATACTGCTGACATTTTTTGTCAAACAATTGGAAACAAAATTTATCCATTTCCATTAATAAATTTCTGCTGTTAACATGACCTGTGACCAAGTGACTTCAAAATCAATAGGGTTATTGTTCACCCCAATGAGCATTATTTGATTTGATTTATAGCTGAAAGATATTGTCCAGGAACAAAATTTCACTCTATTAATTGGCAATGTGACATAGATCTTTGCCATATGGACACAAGAGGTTTTTTCAAATTAAGTTTGCTGAAAGGTTGGACATATGGTTCATTAGATATCATCTAGAAACCATAATGCTGCCCCAATATAATATTAATTTCAGTCTTATTAGCTCTGTGACCTTATCCCTTGACTAACATATACCGTAATAAAAATCAGAAAGGGGTCTTTTTTTTCTTCAGTCTGGTGAGGGTTGGACACATGGTTCAAAAGGTATCATCCAGAGCCAAAATATGGCAACATTTCAGTTTACCCATTCCTGCTTTGAACTGAACTTTGACCTAGTGGCCTTCTTCATCCCATGGCCATTATCAAACCAAGTATTGTATCAACTGAACATGATGTGAACAAAATATCAACCATAAACCAAAGTTTTAGTCTATCAATATCATCTGATCTTTGAAATAATGACCTCAAAATCAGTAAACATCTCCTTCATCCATTGAATGGGGCATTCTAAAACTAAAGTTGCTAAAGGTTTTGTCCAGAAACCAAGATGTTAACATCTAGACGACATTAATCATATTATTCCATCATGTCACAACTCATCTAAAAATACGGACACTGGATAAAACCACATATAATGAAAAGAAGAAATACTATTCAAAAGACAAATGACAAAAATAAAGTTGATGTAATTATTGGTAATCATGTTTCCTTAAGAAAATGTTCAACCATAAAATTAAATTCTCTGTGGTATCTAATGTGTAGGTTGTGCTTTCCTTCTGGCATGATGTAAAGTCTGTAAAATATAAAAAAAAATGTTGAAATAATTAGTCAAATGAATACATTTCCTAACCAAGACCGTAAAAGTTTAAATGAAAATTTAAAGTTTGGTTGTTTTAAATCTTCAATAAATCAGAGACTGCTCAACTAGTCACTTATAAATTCAATCATTGATAATAGTATAACATATTTTGACTAGAAATAAAATAAATGGAGAATGTGTCCATGGGACACAGATGATGCTACCGCTTGCATATAAGATTATAAAGGGATATAACTCAAGAACCATAAAAGTGATGCCACCCATATTCAATCTTGTTTTGAGGTAATAATTGTACATAAATTTCATAACATTTGGTTGAGGCAAACCAAAGTTAGAAAACGTTAACTAATTTTGGGATGTAGACGTACAGACAGATAAGGGCAACACTTAATGCCCCCTCCGGTTCAACGGGGGCATAAAAACTGACCAACTTGTTTTATACGGAAAGTTTGTGTTTATACAATCTAAATCCAATCTTCTGGATTAAACGTACAAGGATTTACCTTATTAGTTCCATTCATTTTTTATTTATCACTGACAATTGAGAGCATGTCAAGTTTGTACTTCTTATTCAATGTAACAGCGTTTCCTTGATATAATTTGGATACATTTATGAAGGAATTGTCCAAATCTTTATTGCATGTACACCTGGGGTCAGTAACTGTAAAATGCTTGTTACATTTATACAATGAGTTTTTGAAAGTAGAACTACAATAAGTATTTTGAATACATGTAATTGAAATAAACTGCTTCGCTGAGTGCAGCTGGATACGCCCACAGAGGTCCAACCCTGAACAGTTGGGGCAAAAATGGACACAATATTCAAGATTGATACAGGTCTGAATTTGGATTGTAATTAAATATTTGACATATTATAGGTTTCTTAATAAAGGTAGTCAAAGAACTTGAAATTGGTTATATGAATTGAATTTATATTCAATTAAAGATTTCTTGCTGTTGTGCAATACACTGTGCTGTTGCACAATACTTAGTAAATCTGTTGTCAGACTATAAACAAATAAAGTTCAATTAATTCTCAATGTCATATTAGAAATTTATGAAAATCAAAATGGTGCTTAAATAAATAGATATAAACAATTCACCAAAGTTTCATGAGAATTGCTGACAGCATTTTTGAGTTATTGTCAGAAAACTTGAAAATCCCCCCTTTTTTAATGAATAAAACCCCATAACTCAGATATGTAAAATGTAAAATTTATAAAATTCTAAAGGGAGTTTACATCAATAGATATAAACAATTCATTAAAGTTTCATAAGAAATGCTGAAAGCATTTTTGAGTTTTTGTCCGAAAACTGGATAATCCCCCTTTTTTTATGAATAAAACTAAAACCCTGCAACTCGGAAACGTAAAATCTAAAATGTATAAAAAACAAATGGGAGCTCACGTCAATAAATATAAACAATTCACCAAAGTTTTATGCAAATTGGTTAAAGCGTTTTTTAGTTAATGTCCGACATGTTGACGACGGACAGACAGACGGACAGACAGACGGACAACGGTATACCATAATACATCCCGTAAAAAATGTAGTAGCAATCTTAATCCAAACTAAAAATACAAATGTATATACAAATGTATGAAAAATAGCAGAACTAGTTTTGAGCATAAAAAGTGATGTAATAAACAGGTGATAATGTTACACTTTTGTATTGTGTGAGAGAATAACCCTTTAACCAATGAGGTAACATGTTATTACCTTGATCCTGCAATGTTATGGTGAAGATAATCTGGATGTTCTAATCCTACCAAAGGATCCTTTAAACCATGAATAATCAATGTCTTACATTTAATATTCTTCAACTCATCTTTACAGATATCTCCTAAAAAAAAACAATAAAGTTCCTCAGTTTGTTTCTCATGTCTTTATATTTTCATTGGTGCATGCTGCTGCTGATGTTAAGTTTAGATTTATTCAAATTAAAAAATATCTCCAACAATACTTTCAAGTGAGGTCATTATCCCTCTATAGGTTCAGTGATAAGTGTTATAGTTCATTCGTTTGATGTGACTCATTCAAAAAGTACAAAAGTAAGTAAACCAGGACATTTTCAGTATTTCCATGGCTATCCTGTTGGTTGATTTGTAGGAACAAAAAAAAAAAAAAAAAAATTTATACTAGACACCCTAAGGATCATTCTTCCATAGTTTGATTGAAATTGGTCCAGTATTTTCAGAGGAAAAGATTTTTACAAGTTTATGACAACAACAATGCACAACAACAGGCACCAAGAGATATTTCACATTGACCCAAGTGATCAGTAGACTACTTCAATCTTTTGTTCAACAGTAAAGGTTACATGCTCTTAGGCCCGAGAACACAGTTATTTCGTAGTGCATTTCTTTTAGACAATAAATTCAAATTAAAAAAATCGCACCTGCTCTCTCTCAAAAAGATTTTTACAGTGTAGTGTACTACTATTGATATAAATAATATCAAAATTATAGAAACTTCTACCAGCTCTAACTCAAAATATTGACAATTCTGTGTTAAGGGGGGCTAAAATTCAGTTTGACAGCTTCCGACATTCTAATTTTTGACCTTTTTTAACTGGACCAAATCACTACTTAACATAAAGATTCAGCACCCAAATTTTTTTAACATGTAATTTCATCCCCTTACTTAATATTTCATGCATAAAATATCAAGAAATAAATTGGGAAAGTGTATAAAAAAAATGCAAGTTATACACTGTTCACACTAGGGACTATATTCGTAGACAACGAAAACCAAAGGACGATAACTGTGTCCTTGGACCTAATAGGATAGAAAGACTTGACCAATTTTAATAAAACTTTGCATGACCTAAGCTTAGGCAATTTTAAGATAGTTGGCCAAGTTTCATGGCCATAGGATATATATTATAGAAACTAGGGCCATTTTAATATTGAAATTTGGATGTTTATTTTTGACGTTTAAATCAAATATTTTCAACTGTCAAGATTTTGGCCTAAAAAATTTAAATATTGCAAAAATTTGCTTTTTAAATATTCTTGAATTTAATATAATAATAATAAAAAGCAACGGAACACTCATTTGATTTATCAGATTTCTTACAGTTATTCAAAAGTCAAATTTATATGAGCCTGTGCCTGAAAATAGAGATTGTCGAATTAAGGGAAGCCTTACATAAACATGCATTTTTTTCAACCAATTTGAAGTTTTTGAAGGTTTTTAACCATACATTATTCTTCCATATATATTAAATGTACTTTAAATGTAAAGAAAAGTTACAAAAAGCATACCACATGAGTATAAAATGGTCTTAGGCCATGTAAGACTGAGAATTATTTAGAGTCGATTTAGGCCGTAGCCCATATTTACATATAAAAATGCACACAGAGGCTATAAGGAAGTGAAATTTGTTACTTTTTGCTCATTTCTATGCTAAGATGTCATGATACAAGAAGTCTAATTGCAAAAGGACTCTTGAATTCAACTTTTTTTTGTAGACAGTATGGTCTGATGACCAGTTTTTCACTTTTCAATGGAAAACTTGCATGTAGTTTTAGTCTCATTTGGCATATATTTGAACCACTTACTATCCTAAAGAAGAAAATTATGGTAGCATATGAAATGAATAGGGTGTACTGATCATTGTAAAGTGTTTTTTTTACAGATTTAGAGAAATATTTGTGACGGACTACAGATTTTATGTACAAAGCTCTTCACATTTCACATACATCAAACAGGCCGTTTAACCAGGGACATAAATACAAATATTCTGCACATTTTTTCTGTGATAATCTACTTTTCTCTAGATTCCGAGTTCACAAATGGTTAATTAAATTTGATTTAAGCATAGTACCACAAATATCAGGAACATAAAAAGCTGTCAGATAGAAAGTCAGCATGGCTCTTAGGCATAAAATGGAAACTGCTTAAAATGCTTATTTTAGCCGTATAATGCCAAAATGGGACATTTTAACAGAATTTCTGTCAAACAAAGATGTAAATCCTTTACTTTTATTGAGTTTGACAAATTGAAACCAGAAAACCATTCAGGAAAGTTGCCAAAGTACAGAATCTACATTTACGGAATTCATCTCTTAGGCCCGAGAACACAGTTATTTCGTAGTGCATTTCTTTTAGACAATAAATTCAAATTAAAAAAATCGCACCTGCCCTATCTCAAAAAGATTTTTACAGTGTAGTGTACTACTATTGATATAAATAATATCAAAATTATAGAAACTTCTACCAGCTCTAACTCAAAATATTGACAATTCTGTGTTAAGGGGGGCTAAAATTCAGTTTGACAGCTTCCGACATTCTAATTTTTGACCTTTTTTAACTGGACCAAATCACTACTTAACATAAAGATTCAGCACCCAAATTTTTTCATCCCCTTACTTAATATTTCATGCATAAAATATCAAGAAATAAATTGGGAAAATGTATCAAAAAAAAATGCAAGTTATACACTGTTCACACTAGGGACTATATTCGTAGACAACGAAAACCAAAGGACGATAACTGTGTCCTTGGACCAGTATAGAATTTAACTATTTTATGGTTTATCTCAAGGGCTGTACATAAGTCATTAGCAGACTGTTGAAAGCTTTAGTAAAAGAAATTGAATTAATCAAAGTGCTTGTAAGCACTGAAGGGTGAAGATTGCTTTAATTTATCAGTGGGAAGTAAAATTAAATATTGCACTCTATCATTGGTTGTCATGGACAAAGGAAGATAACTCCAATTTTAAAGATAACTTAACAATGACATCATCGATATACTTAGAATAGATATAAGATTCCTGCACCTTGCACAAGTTATGTAATTTTCTTGACAAGTATAACATCATTTTGTAACTTGAATATCCAAGCATATATTTCATTGATAAATTTCTGGAAATATACATGGATAGGATGTATAGACTGTTATGATGAATTTACTATATTTTGTGTATCTCAAAAGTAATGATAAAGTTTGGAAAACTATCAAGCCAGCCACATAAGGGTTTTGATTGCATTGATGCAATCTTTACCCCCAAAAATAATCTAACTTGAACAATTAATAAATATTTTACACTACGGTATATGCAAAAGTGTAACTTTTGAATCATTGAAAGTCCTACCATTCCTTTTTGTAAAATATCTCTCATAAGCCTCTACCCATTCTTCCCATGTCTTCTGGAAATATTCTTCCCCATACAAAGTCATAAATGGTGACCTCATTTTCTCACTCCATTTCCAAATGTCTTTTAAACCTAAAAAGACAAATGCATACAATTTAATTAACTTATTTCAATGATATTGTGCCCGTTTTTTTTTTTATGTTCCTTACTTAGTACATGTATCAAAATATATTTGAATGAAAGATAATGAGACAACCAACAAAAATTCATACATAAAATTGACATTTAGAGATGAATAATAAGAGATGTGGGGTATACATCAATGAGACAATATCCCAATGACACAAAAATACTAAAAGGCATCTAGAAGTCAATGCATGTTTTTCAACAATAAACAAGAATCTACACCATATTTATAACTTATACTGCCCTAAATCTGGACAATTTTTGAAAAACGTAGAGAGTACCAGAGATTTGCCATCAACACCACACTTCTTATAAAATATCAGTATTAAAGACGGCAAAATTACATTTATTTATAGTTTTGAGACAAAAAGATAGAGCCAAGGCCTTACACAAAAAAATATTTACACACATTAACAACTTGTAAAATACACCTTGCCCCAAAATATCTTTTATGGTACATGTTTTGGTATAAATAGAGAATCCCTGGCTCATATCTAAATATTTATAACAAGATCTTTAAAAAAAGCTATTTTGGCAGATTAAATGCAAAAGCACTAATGTAAATATGTATGACAAATTCAAAAATACAAAGTCTTATGAACATCTGAAGTATGTTATTTGGTAGATATTCATAATTCTTTATGATTTTCGAATTGAAGTGGCAAAAAAGAGGCCTAATCAAACATTCCCCTTTGTGTACTGAATTTCAATACAGAAAAGAAAACAGTTGTGTTTGTTACTGTATACAGATGCATTGATACATAAAATACAAAACTGAATTATTAACAACAATAGTATGATCTCCCCTTTTTAAAGAAGTCTGATGAGTAAGAACAACCCTTAAAGTTACTTTCTTTGTTGTGCTGTAACACCACTGTCCCAGGTAAGGGGAAGTGTTGAGCGCTCACAAACATGTTTACCAATGCCACATTCTTTATGTGCCTGTCCTAAGTCAGGAACCTGTAGTTCAGTGGTTGTCGTTGGTTTATGTCTTATGTCAGTCATATTTGTTTTTGGTAAATTGTTTTGTTATAAATTAGGCCATTAGTTTCTCAATTGAATTGTTTCATATTTTTCATGTCAGGTCCTTAAAGCCTACTATACAGTATTAGTTTTTCTCATTGTTGAAGGCCATACAGTTGCCTATAATTGCTTACATTCATTTCATTTGAACTTGGGTGGATAGTTGTCTCATTGGCAATCATACCACATCTCCTTATTTTCATATTTACCCTACAAGGCCGTACGGTGACCTATAGTTGTTAATTTCTGTGTCATTTGGTCTCTTGTGGAGAGTTGTCTCATTGGCAATCATACCACATCTTCTTTTTTATATGACAACTTTTTTTTTATCAAATTATTTTTTTTATATCAATTCCTGAAAGTGGAAGAAATTTTCAGTAACTTCCTTCAGGGTTACTCCCCTTTTATTTACTATTTACCCTACAAAGCTGAGTGTGACAACTTATTTTTTATCAAATTCCTGAGAGTGGAAGATATTTTCAGTAACTTCCTTCAGAGTTACTCCCGTTTTATTTACTAGCAATTATGATAACAGAAGGGCTGCATATTTTTATTATACCTAGGGTTACAATTACTTATTTCCTCAACTCAAATAGATTTTAGTTTAGGTTCAGTGAAAATTAGATAGAAAAAAGAATATTACATTACAGAGACATTTTCTATTTCTTTATTAATTTGTTAAAAACATAGAACATAAATCGCAGCAGAAAAATAAATGGCACAGATATATGAGACAGAAACTTTAGCAACATTTCCATAAAAAACATTCAAAAACTTCAGTGGACACATATCCAAACCAAAATGATATTAAAGAACAATAAAATGCTCCACCCAGCGCAGCTTGATACTACCACAGAGGTCAAACCCTGAACACTTGGGGCAAAAATTGACACTACATTCAAGCTTGATACAGCTCTGAATTTGGATTGTGATTAAATATTTGACACAGGATAGGTTTCTAACAGAATGAATGTGGTCAAAGAACTGAAAAATTTGAAATTGAACTTGTACCTATTATGGTCCAATATCCAAAATCAAAATACATGGTCAGATTCAGCATATCCAAGTAAACCAAGAATGAAGATTTTAATTAATTTATTCATAAATAAAAGAACAATGTCCCCCATGTTGCACATATTTTATCTAAGGTACAAGGGCAATAACTAAAAATATACTTTTTTTTCTTTAAAATTGTTCATAAATATCGTTGAGAAATGAATGCTTCAGAGCATATTCAATGTGATTTCCGATATAATTAATATTTCCAAGGGCATAACTCGTTAAAAATATTTGATCAGCACTTATTTTGGAAAGTGTCAAAGACATTGCTGATATAAACCTATGATATAAGTTTCATAAAATTCTGGCAAGAACTGTACACACGAGAGGGCTAATGATGTAATTTTCCATATAATTAATATTTCTAAGGGGCATAACTCTTTTAAAAAACAATTGATCGGCAATGATGTCCAAACTCATCCAAGAAATTGATGATATAAACCTATAATATTAATTTCATAAAAATCTGGCAAGAATTGTACACATGAGAGCACTCGCAAGGCAATTTTCCATATATTTAATATTTCCAAGGGGCACAACTCTTTTGATAATAATTGATCAGCACAGATTTTTGAACTCGTCCGAGACATTACTGATATAAACCTACAATATAAGTTTCATAAAAATCTGGCAAGAATTGTACACATGGGAGTGCTAACAATGCAATTTTTCATATAATTAATGTTTCCAAAGGGCATAACTCTTTTAAAAATAATTGATCGCCAGTGATTTTCGAACTCGTTCGAGACATTGCTGATACATTGTATAAACCTACAATATAAGTTTCATAAAAATCTGGGAAGAATTGAACACATGAGAGCACTAAAGATGCAATTTTGCATATAATTAATGTTTCCAAGGGGCATAACTCTTTTAAAAATAGTTCATCGGCACTTATTTTCGAATTCATCTGGGACATTGCTGATATAAACCTATAATATAAGTTTTATAAAAATCTGCCGAGAATTGTACATGTGAAAGGGCTAACAAGACCGGACGGACACCTGGTATGTCATTGTCCCCCCACAATGCATTGCGGGTTGGGCAATAAACAATAAAGCTAAGTTTTTAAAGGGGTTCAAAATATCTAATATATATATGAACAGTTAATTTCAAACTAAATTTTTATATTATTTCTTCTCTAAAATTAGATATGATGCTGTATCTGTTTCTAACTATGACTCAACTTACAATTTCTATTAATTATGCAATACATCTCTGAATTAGAACTCTGATTAAGTATTTGACATAGCTTAGTTTCTGACACAGACTGGATGTGGTTTAAGTACTTAAATGATTTGAAATTGGACAGTTAATTTCTGTGTCATTTGGTCTCTTGTGGAGAGTTGTCTCATTGGCAATCATACCACATCCTCTTATTTTTATATCTATATATATATAGCTACCTATTATGGTCCAATATCCAAAATCTAAATACACGATTGGAATCATCATATCAAAGAACCCCAAGAATTCATTTTTTGATTATATCAAACATAATTTAATTTTGGACCTAAATGTGGACCAATTTGATAAATGAAATCCAAAACCCAAATACATGTTTAGATTCAGCATATCAAAGAACCCCTTGAATTCAATTTTTGTTAAAATTAAACTTTGTTTCATTTTGGACCCTTTGGACCTCAATGTGGACCAATATAAAAACCGGTCCCAAAATCCAAAATCTAAATACACGGTTAGATTCAGCATATCAAAGATCCCCAGAGTTCATTTTTTTTTAAATCAAACAAAAGTTTAATTTTGGGACCTTGGACCTCAATGTGAACCAATCTGATAACGGGCACACACATATAAATATCTAAATACACGGTTAGATTCAGCATATCAAAGAACCCCCATAACTTAATTTTTTATGAAATTAAACAAATTTTAATTTTGGACCCTTTGGACATCAATGTGGACAATTCAAAAAGGGGCCCAAAATCCAAAATCTAAATACACAGTGAAATTCAGCATATTTAAGAACCCAAACTTCAAGATTTTGAATTAACCTCCCCCCCCTCATTGAAATTGGTAAAATAAATGGGGAATGTGTCCTACTAGGCAAACTAAAGTAAGAGAACAGAAACGAATATTTCAGCAATTTTTCCATTTGTAAAGGGGCATAACTCTAGAACGGTAAAAGTGACGCGACCAAAATTCAAACTTTATCTGTGTTTTGTGGTAATAAGCATTGTGTATAAGTTTCATAACATTTGGTTGAGGCAAACTAAAGGTTAGAGAACGGAAACGAAAAATTCAGCAATTTTTCCATTTGTAAAGGGGCATAACTCTAGAACGGTAAAAGTGACGCCACCAAAATTAAAACTTGATCTGTGTTTTGTGGTAATAAGCATTGTGTATAAGTTTCATAACATTTGGTTGAGGCAAACTAAAGTTAGAGAATGGAAACCAATTTTGGGACGTACAAGGGTAAAACTTTATGCCCCCTCTGCTACGACGGGGGCATAAAAATAAGCAATTTATACAAAGTATAAGAAAAGTATTGTTTTTGGCCCCTTTTTCCTAAACAGTTGGGGCCATAACCTCAAAAATCAATCCCAATCTTCCTTTTTGGTATGGAACCTTGTGGTATAATTTCATAGAGATCCATAGACTTATACTCAAGTTCTTGTCTGAAAACAAGAAAATCCTAAATTTTTTTTTGCCCCTTTTTGGTCCCTTATTCCTAAACGATTGGGCCATAACCCCCAAAATCAATAAAAACCTTCCTTTTGTGGTATGGAACCTTGTGGTACAATTTCATAGAAATCCATACACTTATTCTCAAGTTATTGTTTGGAAACCAAATGTCTTCGGACGATGACAACCATGCTGACAAAGCCATACATTATACGACTGCCAAAATTTTGTGGTTGTATAAAAATTATTATAAGATTAATTGCATTTTACAGTACCAATGATGAAATTTTAATTTGTATGTAAACTTGAACTAAGGTAAAATCCTATCAAATAATAAATATGTTTCTTCAGGAAAAAAGAAGACACAGTGTTATCATTTCAATTAACGAAACATACTGGAAACAGTATATAACAAAAGCATTTTTATATGGTTATAATTTTATAATCTGAAATGGAGAATGGCATTTCATTGTTCAACTTCAATGCATGCCACAGTAAAAAATCAGCATTCAAATGAAATTGAACTTTTACTATATCAAACCTTGATAAGCTTCAATATCTTTTTCTGTAACATATGCATTACCACCCCAGATAACAAGTTTATTAACAATGTCAGGATGTCGAGCCGCCATGATCATTCCTGTTATAGCTCCATCACTCCATCCCAGTATTGAAAGCTTATGAATGTTTAGTTTCTATAAAAAAACAAAAATCTAATTACATGTCTTTCTATTTTCACAATGATTTTACAATTTGCTAGCATCTGAGGAAATGTAAAAGCAAGTTTTGCTAGTTTCCATTCTTAGCTGTCATAACAAAACAGAATCACAAAGGAAGAATTTCATTTGAGTGAGTATTAATTTCTTTATATTTCATGCATGAAATAATAAGTAGGGGAATGAAATTACATGTTAAAAAAATTTGGGTGCTGAATTTTTATGTTAAGTAGTGATTTGGTCCAGTTTAAAATGGTCAAAAATTAGTATGTCTGAAGCTGTCAAACTGAATTATAGACCCCCGTAACATAAAATTGTCCATGTTTTTGAGTTAGAGCTGGTAGACTTTTCTATAGTTTTAATATTATTTGTCCCCATATGAGGACACTACACTGTAAAAATCTTTTTGAGATAGATCAGGTGCAATTCTTTTAATTTGAATTTATTGTCTAAAAGAAATGCACTATGAAATGACTGTGTTCTCGGGCCTAATGTTTAATTCATTGATTTTATTTATTTTGAATCAAAACTGAAATAATTTATCTCCTTTTCCTTAGCTACAAATTTTTTTTTCCAACTTGAAATTTTAAAATTTTAGTTGATACCTATTAAAGTTATGTGGTTAAATCAACTATCATCTTTAAGTTTCACAACCAATTAGTTATTTGCTTGATTATTTTTTTGAAAAAAAAAACATCTTGGCACTTAATTAACAAGCAGTTGCAGTATGTTCATTAAAGGCTAGCTGAAAAGGGTTCAACCATAAAATCATATGTGAGATAATATCTTTTCCAAGTACAATAAAAGAACAGAGTTCCAATGTAACCACCATTGCATATATTTAATCTGTCCAAAGGCAAAAACTTTAAAAAATAAATGTGGATAGTGTCCACATGTAGACACAGATGATGCCCCTGCTTGCATATCATATAGTTATAAAGGGACATAACTGAAGAACGGTAAAAGTGACGCTACCCAAATTTGAACTTGATCTGAGTTTTGTGGTAATAAGCATTGTGTGTAAGTCTCATAACATTTGGTTGAGGCTAACTTAAGTAGAGAACAGAAACTAAAAATTCAGCAATTTTTCTATTTGTAAACATGCATAACTCTAGAAAGGTTGTGTATAAGTTTTATTACATTTGGTTGAGACAAACTAAAGTTAGAGAACGGAAACGAAAAATTCAGCAATTTTTATGTTTATAAAGGGACATAACTCAAGAATGGTAAAAGTGTCGCCACCAAATTTCGTACTTTATCTGTATTATGTAGTAATAAGCATTGTGTATAAGTTTCATAACATTTGGTTGAGGCAAACTAAAGTAAGAAAACGGAAACAAAAAATTTGTACTTGATCTTAGTTTTGTGGTAATGAATATTGTGTATAGGTTTCATAATGTTTGGTTGGGGCAAACTTAAGTTACAGAATGGAAACTAAAAATTTTGCAAACTTTCGATTTATAAAGGGGCATAACTCAATAATGGTTAAAGTGACACTACCCAAATTCAACTTGATCTGTGTTTTATCAGTGGAAGTCAAAATTAAACATTACATTGTATAAAGCATTGATTGTAGTTGATTCAACTATAATCATGGACAAAGAAAGATAACTCCAATTTAAAATTACTTGATATTTAGAAGAAAATAAAAATTTTGCAATTTTTCCATCTATAAAGGGGCATAACTCTAGAACGGTTAAAGTGACGCCACCAAAATTCAAACTTGATCTGTGTTTTGTGGTAATAAGTATTGTGTATAAGTTTTATAACATTTGGTTGAGGAAAACTTAAGTTAGAGAAGGGAAACTAAAAATTTTGCAATTTTTCCATTTATAAAGGGGCATAACTCTAGAACTGTAAAAGTGACGCCACCAAAATTAAAACTTGATCTGTGTTTTGTGGTAATAAGCATTGTCTATAAGTTTAATAACATTTGGTTGAGGAAAACTCAAGTTAGAGAACGGAAACCAATTTTGGGACGTATGTACTACGTACGTACAGATGGACAAGGGTAAAACTTAATGCCCCCTCCGCTACGGTGGGGGCATAAAAAAGGTTTTATAGATATCTTAAAAGAAAAGTAGGTTCTGCGACAGCTTACAATGCAATCTTTCAAATAATTAATATTTTCTAGGGACATAACTCTTTTAGAAATATTTGATCGGGACTGATTTTCGAATTTGTCTGAGTCAGTGATAATATAAACCTTTGATAGAAATTTAATAGAAATCTAGCAAGAATGGTACAAGTGAGAATGCTTACAATGAATTTTCCAAATAATCAATATTTTAAAGAGGAATAACTCTTCTAAAAATAGCTGATCAGCACTGATTTTTTTTTTATTTTGTCCAAGACATTGCTGATATAAAATTAATGAAAATCTGGCAAGAATTGTACACATGAGAGTGCTTACAAGATCAGATTGACAGAGGAAAGGTATTGCTATGTCCCCCATCACACATCTCACAGGGGACAATTCAAGGCTACCCCAGTATGCTAAGCCATGCAGGATACAAATCCAATGCAGAATTATGGAATAAGTGTTTATGTAAAGCAATAGCATGGTGTTTGACCATATTCTTCAAAGCCGAAGGTTACTCCAGGTATAGTACAAACTTAACATTATCAATAATCCTTGAAATTGAGGTCAGGGTCAAATGAAACCTGAAAGACAGACATGCATCACCTTAGTGACCTTACAATCATTCTATATATACCAAATATAGTTGTCCTATTACTATTCATAACTGAAAAAAATCAAGTGTTATACAGTACACGTATTTTCAAGCAGTTATTGAATCATGAAAATGAGTTCAAGGACAACAGACCTATGCCAGAAGGAAACTTAAGAGCACAATGCATCTGTATTCAAGATATGAAGTAACAAGGCCTTCTTCCTTCCTACAGATTTATACAAAGAGCTAACCCAGATGGATATTTATAAGACAAAAATTTTAAATATGGAGGATAACCTTATAGCTCAGGAACCATGTTATCCAAAACCCTATGTCTGAAAGATTTTTGCAATGAGGAAATTCATGATGAAAATTTTATCCAAACTGAAAGACAACTGAAAATTTGATGTATAAAAAAACTTCAACTGTTTAAATAGAAATTATCCCTTCCTGAATTTTAATACAGATTTGACAAGAGGCTGTAAAAATGACCTCAAACAAAGTTATTAAGTGTCAGTGTTAAAGTAATCAAGGACTATAATTTATTGTCAAAATAAAAACTTTAATACCTCCATTTTGTCATTAGAAAGAAAATAAGAATTCTTTGGTTGAAAGGTTCTAAGTTCTCATACAAAAAAATAGTGAGCAACATTTTTTAATCAAACTAACAGTCTTGGTCTGCATAATTGAAAATCATCAAAATTAACATCAGTAATTACATCCATATTTTACAATGTGCAAAGAACAGTTCCCAATTAATGGCAAGGAAAGGACATTATGATTTTTTCCTAAGAAGAAAAACCAAAGCTTTAATCTGAATAGGACAGATGAACAGTCAAACAAATGGCAGGTTAGTAATCATAAATCCCCCTTAATACTAAAGAAGGCAGGGTTAAACTTTTTTTATTTTTTTGGATTGACACAGGAACATTAAATAGAATATATGTTGCACTTTATACCTATTACTGTCAAACGGTAGATGTCTCCTTATAACACTGACAAGTCTCATTTACCATACCACATAGAAACAGTAGAAGTCTCCTAATAAAACCTAACAAGTCTCATATACCATACCACAAAGAACAGTAGATGTGTCCTTATAGACAATAACTAGTCTCATATACCATACCACATTGAACAGTAGATGTCTCATTATAGACAATAACTAGTCTCATGTATCATACCACATTTATCTATACTAAGAGTAGAAAAGGAAATGTTGAATGGAACCCTTATCCTGCTATACTGGATACTTGATATCATACGCAAAACTTTATAATAACTATTCTAATTTTATTAACAAACTAATATACTACGACACCATTGTATACACAGTATACTAGTATCATATTCACAATCAATTCTAAATCTATTATACTGAATACATATGAAAATAATAACAAATGTATCATTTGGCTTTCTAGGGGGCTACTCATTAAAACTTACAATAATACTAATTAAAATAACCAAATCAAAAACACTACCTACTCAACACAATTTAAAATTAATTAAAAAATAAATTGCCTAAATTATGCAATTTTAAGAACCTGCAGTAGAGCCCTGACAGGTGAAAAATTTATTTTAATACCTGACTGGTAGAACCCAGACAGGTATAAATTTGAAAAATGAGAATACCTGCGGTAGATCCCAACAGATACTTTTAGAACCTGAGTGGTAGAGCCCAGACAAGTATGAATTTTGAAAACTGAGAATTCCTGTGGTAGATCCCAACAGGTACTTTTAGAACCTGAGTGGTAGAGCCCAGACAAGTATGAATTTTGAAAACTGAGAATTCCTGTGGTAGATCCCAACAGGTACTTTTAGAACCTGAGTGGTAGAGCCCAGACAAGTATGAATTTTGAAAACTGAGAATTCCTGCGGTAGATCCCAACAGGTACTTTTAGAACCTGAGTGGTAGAGCCCAGACAAGTATGAATTTTGAAAAATGAGAATTCCTGCGGTAGATCCCAACAGGTACTATTAGAACCTGACTGGTAGAGCCCAGACGGGTATAAATTTGAAAAAAGAGAATTCCTGCGGGAGATCCCAACAGGTACAAAAACTAACTTAATTATCACCCTGAAATAAAACAAAGCCTTAATAATTTATAAGATGTATTAATGAATTGGGGGAAAATAATTTCCCTGAAATTAAGTAGGCCAAATGAACCAAAAACATAAAACTAAAACAAACAAAACACATATTGTTATGAGTAGCCCCTTTTAAATAAACATATAAAAATTAATTGACATTAAAATCATGACTATTTAATTTTTCAAGGTGCAGCTGGGGAAACGGTGGGTG